ATTTTCTAGAATTAGATGAAATTCTGATGCTGTGTGTCTGGCACCAGTGGAAGGAAGACTGATGATGTTTAGCAAATGACCTTTACAGCTGTCACCATCTCTGTTGTCATTAGACCTATAAAGTTTGAAGTTACCACCTAGAAACTACCTCGGGGCCACCCAGATAGCTCAGCAGACTGAAGTGCCTGCTTAGGCAGAGCTCAGCAGCTGGGGTTCAGTTCCCAGTGTGCTGTGCTAGCCCCACTCCCAGGGCACACTGAGACAGTGATTGAGACTGGGCATGGTGGTGCATGCTGAAAACAGGAGAATCTCTATGAGTCCCATCTACATAGTAAGACCCTGTAGACCCTCTACTAAATACATGAGGGAAAAGAAGAAAAGAAAAGAAAAGAAAAGAGCAAGCGAGCGAGCGAGCGAGCGAGCGAGCCTCCAGTCTTGAGGCAGCAAGCAGCAGAGGTGGAGCTACCTCTCTTGGTGACGGCCAGCCCCATAGGCTTTGAGACATTCTTTGTTGCCTCATTAAATGAGTGAAGCTTTAGGATTCTTCTATTAAGCTGCAACCTGAAAATTATACTTTTTCAAAGCAGTATAGAAAATGCTGTAGTAAACCCAGTGCTGGCACCTCAGCCCCATCCCTCCTCCTGCTGCTGACTAGCGTCCCCTGGATGCAGCTGCTGCCTCTTGTGAGGAGGCGTCTGATCAGGGTCCCCAGTGCTGCCACCTGACAGGTGGGATCTGTGGGAAGGGAAGCAGCAAAGTTCTGAATTCTTGCTGTGCCTGTGCCCAGACACAAGTTGTCTGGTGTCCACTTCCATCAGGGATCTCTCTTTTTCTCCTGGGGCACTATAGTCTCTGAAATGAAAGATGGTTTTCCCGAAACTGTGTGCCATGCACTGGCAGACAGGCCTTGTGAGGGGCGTAGGAAATTACCATTGTCTCTGTTTTACCTGTTGCAGTGGTCATGTGCCTGCAGTTTCCCATGACCGCTCACTAGCCACTTAAGTGTTGAGTCTGGGCCAGTGGTGGTGAATCTATGGCAAGTGTGCCACAGGGATAATCCTGTTCTGTTGGCATATAAGCCAAGGTGCCCCAGCAGCTGAGCATCACATAACAGTTGTTTTTTCTAAACTAAAACCTCAGTATTCAGGTTTAATGGCATCATTGACACTTTGTGATAAGTAGGTTTTTGGTTATCATTTGAGTAGACCATCTCTAAAAGATTTGCCACCACTGGTCTGGGCTTTTAAATTTTTATTTTATTTATTTATTTATTTGTGTGTGTGTGTGTGTGTGTGTGTGTGTGGCCAGCTCAGCCCACCAGGGGGCGAGGCTGGCTGGCATGTGGTGCTGGGGGATTGAACCGCGGTCCCTGTGCTTTGCTAAGCTTGCTCTAAGTAGGTGCTTTAGACCACTGAGCCATCTCACCAGCCCCTGGTCTGGGCTTTTAAGAAGGCAGTTGGGGTACATACATTAAAGTAAAAATATTAGGAGCTGGGCTCAGTGGCACATGGCTGAAATCCTGGTAAGGCAAGAGGATTCAAAGTTTGAGGCTAGCTGGGGCCACTTAATGAAACTTTGTCTCAAAATAAAACATAAAACAGGCAGGAAGTGTATCTCAGTGGTACAGTACCCATGGGTTAATCCCTAGTAGTGCCCCCTTCTGAGTATCTCTGATATGTATAGGATATCAATTCTAATATGGAAATGCTCAAGTGGGGAGAGCCACCTGTATGTCAGTAGGGAGAGATAAAATGAATAGTAGGGTACATTAGGTAGGATTCTGTACAACCAGTAACACCAGTGGTGGAGCTTCAGAGTATAACCACTGAAGTCAGAAATGGAACTATAGCAGATGGCTGCTGATATTATATAATGGCACATGGTAAACTGCATGGTGGGCTGGGCCGGGGAGGTGGCTCAGTAGAATAAGCGCTTGCCTGGCAAGTACAAGGGTCTGAGTTCAATTCCCGGTTCAAAAAAAAAAGCACCATATATTTTCTAGACTGCATGGCCATATTGTATGTAGTGACCAAAAAAGACCTCTAAGAAATGTAGTAGGAAAACAACAAGCTCTGGAACCATGTGGTTAACACCATATGTATAAAAATAACAACAGGTAGCTTATTTTTATGTGCTTGGGTATTTGTGTAAAAGCAGGGTTTTCTGAGAAGGATTTGTGATGAGTCGTCTAAGCAGGCTCTTAGCTTCATCTTATAGTGAGAATGTGTAAACACAAAATCTGCACAATTAGAAATTCATGAAAAGCAAACTTCTAGAACAAAACAGAGAATAAGCTAATGGGCAGCTGTTGGCTTCTCTGGATCATCAAGTATCAATTTTGCACAGACATGTTGTGTGGGGATCAGGAATGGGCATGGGGTGAGCGCCTCCCCACTTCGTGGTAATGTTGCCCCCGTGCCAGGCTGCTCTGTGCTTCAGGTATGACGTGGAAATGAGTGCCTACTTCCTGGGTTACTTTGAGGACAGAGTGAATTGTGGAACAACTGGTATTAGTGTTCCGCCTTCCACAACATAGTAGCACCTTCTCTTCCATGAAAATGGACCCCTCAGGCATGAGGGCAGTGTGGGGGTCTTGGGATTGCTTTCTTAGCAGCATATGTCTAGGTGTTGGGCAGGGTTATCTGTTTCCACGTGGCAGAGACAACTTATGGCCCATTGACATGACTCCTGGCAGTCAAAGCTGAGCAGTCCCTTCACTAATCTAGTACATGCATACTCTGCTGGGTGCTCAGGATGAGTTGCTCAGACCCCTGACCCTGACCATGAAATGATGCCTGGATAGGGTCATGCGCAGAGCTGAACCAGTGTTGATGGATGTTCCACATACCATGGGGTCATATGTTTTGTTTGAACACTAGGTACCCAATACCCTACTGTTTGATGAAAAGTGTGCTCGGCTCTCCGTTCTGCTGGATATGTCAGGGGCCCCTCTGTTCATGGGCATGTGTCTAGTACTCTGCTGTTTTGAGCCTCCTCCTCTGTCTGTTCCACACCTCTTGCCTCCATCATGTTTTGCTGTCGTCAACACAGGTTTTCTCATTGCTTAGACAAAATGCCCAACACCCAAAGTTAAAAAAAGAAAAAAATTGGGCTGGGGAGATAGCTCAGCGGTCTAAGCACCTGCCTGGCAAGTGCAGGGACCTGAGTTCAATCCCTGGTACTGCATGCTGTACCAGCGTCATGGAAACCAGGTGTGGTGCTGGGGAGGCTGAGACAGGAGGATCATTATGAGTCTAAGCTGCATAGCAAGACCTATACCAGATAGATAGATAAGATAGATAAGATAGATAGATAGATAGATAGATAATTTTGACTTACAATTTTAGAAGTTTCAGTCCCTGTCTGGCTCATCCCAAGGTGGGGTGGTATGGCAGAGGGCCGTCGTAGAGTAGAAACAGGTGCACCACAAAACATGGCAGGCAGACGGTAGCAAGCAGCAAGTAATAATAGCAGCAGACCCTGCCTCTCCCTTTCATCTCTCCCAAGCTACCTCCTACCTGGTAGTGCTACCTACACATGGGGTGGGCCTTCCCGTTGTCCATAGCCAGAACTATGTTTAACCAGTAGACTCATTTAGTAGTCACACACCCTTAATCTCAGCATCATACATCCTAAAGCCAGCTACCACCTCTTAGGAGCCCCACATATACCTCCATGAGGCTTTGTGGGGGAAGGGGGGAAGTGAACACAAGCCATAACATCTTGGCATCTGCTAGGCCCATCCCTTGGCTTGCTTTTCTCAGAATTTACTGGCTGCTCTCTATTCTTGAAGTTTCATCAAATACATGGGCCTCCAAGGCCTCAGGAGTGTGTCCCCCATGTGCCATGTCTGGCTGACTCCTCAAAGGTGGCCTCCAGGAGACACTTTATGCTATGGGAGTTCCCTAGACCACTGGTTCTAGGACAACAGTAGCTGGACTCAGACACCCACTTGTGGCTAGTTGAAGGGCAGCTGGGCTAGGTCAGTTTCAATAAGGACAGTCTTCCCAGTCAGCTTCCCTACTGTTCTGGGGAGATGGAAGACATTATTTGCTGAGAGATATCAGATGCTGTTCTAGCAGAGCTAAGCACAGGCCACCTCTCCACAAAAGTCCACTAGGTGTCCTCTGCCCTGGCCACATCTGTCTCCTCTTCACTGTTCCCCCCACAGTGCCAGTTCCCTAGGAAAGATGGAAGCTCTGAGGATCTTGCTGTCCTTTGCCTCATTCCCTTACGGAAGCCACGAGGAGGTTCGGTCACATTGAGGTAGCGTGGTGGGGGAAGGAGGGGCCTCCAGCCTGCTACAAGTGAGTGTTCAGCAAGATTCTCTTGTACTGCTGAAGGACCCATAGTGCCCTCACTCAGGGCACACGCAGCACTTGCTTACAGCAGCAGAGCCTGTGGCTCCACAGGTGGGGTTGGTTTGTCTGGGCCAATTGGGTAGGCTGGATTGGACTAGGGGTCCAGTTCCTTCATTCTGGAGCCACAGCAGAAGTGGCAGTGACACACCAGGAGCATCAGAGACCAAGCCAGTCTCACATGAGGTTCAAGCTGAACCTAGCCACGTGTCAGTGGGACAAGGAATGGGATGGGTAAGCATGGGACGTCCTGAAAAGTCCTGGCAGAAGAGTGTGGGTATTTAATTTGAGCTTCAGAATGAAACTCCCACAGTGACACACTGTGTAGTGCCTCCTAGAGCCTTGGACGTTCTACAAGTACCTGCTGTCTGCGGTGCATGGCATGTCAGGGAGTTTTCCAATGCAAAGAAGTATAAACACACTGTGAATCTAGGCTGATTTGTTATAGAAAAGTAAAAAAATGCATTACTAAAAGGAAATTCAGGTCTTACAATGTTGCTTAAAACTAGTGTCAGAAAAATACCATCCAAGTGTACTTTGTCCCTGGTTTTACTGACATTTCTTCTTTTTTCTTTTTTCTTTCTTTCTTTCTTTTTTATTTTATTTTATTTTTTCTTTGCTTGAATTCTAACTTTCTTTCAGGGAAATAGTGGAACATATGGTCCAGCACTTTAAAACACAGATCTTCGGGGATCGGAAACCAGTGTTTGATGGAAGAAAGAATCTTTACACGGCTATGCCCCTTCCAATCGGTAGAGACAAGGTAAGGCCGCAGGTCAGATCGAGCTGAGTAGATCAAGATGAAACTCAGGTGTATTGTAAAGTTAATTACCTCTCTTATCACACGGGAAGTGCTTTCACCTAGGAGAAAGGGCAGTTGGTTGGCTACTACTGCATCCGGAGAACTGTAAAAGCTGCCTTAGTGTCTTGTGTTCGTAGTGAGAGTTGTTTCAGTACACAGTGCACATGCAGGTGTGACATGGCACACACACCCCTCCAGAGCGTATGCCACGGACTGCCCAGGGGGCTTATAGGCAGTGTCTTGCTGGGAGTAAAACTAAATGAATATTCTACTTCACCCATTGATTCATCTAAAATCAGAATGATGAAAATTAGTAAACTCAGAGTCTTGCTTATATTAAAATGTCAGCTTTCTTACTATCTTTATCCTTGTCTTTAGTTAAAAAGTAATAAAATTTCTACTTAGACGTTATAACTGTTGGGCATCATCTTTGAACAAATGTGTTTCTCTAGGGTGATGTTAATTAGAGAACCAGTTCAGAAATAATCTTTCTGCATGTACAGTGTGTTCGAAAAATGCAGGGAATGTTTAAATTTTAAAGAATGAGTATAGTGAAAGACACAGTGCTGTTAATCCCCCTCAGCATACCCCCTCATTTTAAACACTTATCCCATTGTTCTTGACACTTTCTAAAGTTCTAGAAGCTAGCTAGCTTGCTGTCTATCTGTCAATCTATCTATCTATCTATCTATCTATCTATCTATCTTTCTATCTTTCTGAGTAGGAAACTTATTGAGGAGAAGGGCTGGGGACTAGGAATAGCTCCTGAGAGACGAGAGAGGTCTGAGTGGATTGCCAGTAAGCTGACTTTTCAAAGGAAGTTTTGTGGAGCCAAATCACAAGGCGGGTACAATGTAAGTATAGTTGATTAGGTAATACTAATCTAGTAGCAGCGAGGCCTGTGGGTGACATCAGTCTTAGCGATTGGGAGAGGATGAGAGGGACAGGAGGGCCCACCCTCATAGGATGTTTATTTATATGGGAAATCTGACAAGAGTGATACTGATAATCTCAAGCTTTCATTTACCCCTTGGGGGGACTAGGGATATAGCTCAGTGGCACAAGTGCCTGCCTGGCAATTGAGAGGTCCCAAGTTCAATCCTGGATAACAAACACACACACCACACACCAAAAAAGCAAACAGAAAAACCCCACACCTCCATCTACCCCTTAGGGAAGGGTGTAAATCTGGCCATTGTGACTTTAACACTCTTCTGATGCACTCCAGTTTTAATGTGTTCTCATCTTCTGCACAGACTCTCTCGAGGGCCTAGTCTTGTCTGACTGCCTAAACTATCTCTAGCTAACTTAAACTTCTCTAGATTCCTCTTCTCTAAAGAGGTTCCCCTAACTGAGGGGTTAGGGAGACAAAAAGGAGAGAAGAGACAAAAACCTGGACAGGGATCACTCTGGCCACTCCTGGCTGAAAAGGTCATAGATGTCATCAGCTGTCAGAGATACTCCACAGAGGGTCTATCTAATGGCCCTCAATAGACACAGCAATTCATTGGAGGAAATAAGGCCAAAGAAACAGTTGAGTGTGGATGGGCAAATAATAAGATCAACAAGAATATTATGAATACAACCAACAAATATTTCCTTCAAGAAGAGCCAGTAATAGCTTCCCACAGGAGAGTGAGGAGAAAGTCAATGGAATTTTAGAATCTGACATGGCATTAACCTGCCATTTAGTATCTTGAAAAGCCATCAAGATATTAGCAGAAGGATCAGGATTGTACACACAACACTCAGCTTTTATAATTACCCAAGTACCCCCTTGTACTGTTGTTAAGATGTCTAATGCCATCTGACTTTGGATGATGGTTTGCCTCACTAATTTTGCTTCTTCATTTAGGAGAAAGAGACCAGTCCAAGTATGATTTACAGCCCATTAAGTATAGATAGTCAAGACCTCAGTGTGTTGCATGACATCCTCTAGAAAAGGCTTAAACATAAAGGTCAGATGATCATACCAGTGAAATACACTTGTAGACCATGGATGTCATAGATGGGGTAAGTTTGCAGGGTTGATACTTTTGACACTCCTGCCTTCTAACAGTGCAAATCCCAGCTTACCTCTCCCTGTCTATCCAGTGGGTAGCCAGGGCTGCAGATTGGTTCCATAGGACCAGTGAGTGCCAGTGGGGGCTTCCTATCTAATTCTAGGGTGATCGAACCAGTCTGTTGCAAACCAGTCTTCAACCTGCAAACACTGCTTGAGGAGTGTCCATCCCAAGTATTTAGTAGAGGTAAGCCAATGAGAATAGGAATGATTTATTTGTTACCAACATAAGGCGGCCTTTCTACTAAATTATCTTATACTTAGTTGGAATTAACCACATTTGATCACCATCAGTATAAACAATGACTTCCTATCCTTTACCGAGTTGTAAAGCCCTTGTCAGAGCTATGAGTTCTGCCAGCTGGGCACTAGTCCCAGGAGCAAGTGAGGAACTTTAAAGTATCTGGTACAGAGTCATTACTGCATAACTGCCTTTCTTGTCCTGTTTTCCATGAAGGAACTGCCATAGCAGAAGAGGGTCAAAATTGGTAAGGGGTGTGTCTAACAAGTCTTCTGGCTGTGTGTGTATAGAGAATCACCCATTCACGGCCATGTCTTTCAGCCTCGATTTCTTCTTTCCCTGGTAGAGAAGTATCAGGGTTTAAGGAGGAATATATCTTTATTTGAATGGCTAGTCATTCTAGAAGTAACATCTTGAATTTAAAAATTTGGTTGTCTGGTAGCCATAGGCTCCCTTTGGAAAAAAGAAGTCCAGCCATATTTTGAGGTATATGTTCTTTGAGATCTTTGTCTAAAATCAGCTTACATGTCTCAAATACCAGAAGAGATGGCAGCCACAGCTCTAAGGTACATAGGCCATCCCTTTGCTACAATGTCTAATTCATGACTTGGGTACCCTACAGATTGTTGACTAGGTCCTTAATCCTGCATAAGGATGGCACTTCCAAAGCCTTCCCTTGCCTTTCATCAACATAAGGATTGAAATGTTGTCTTGTTGGTAGGCCCAACACTGGGACATTTAGTAGCACTTGTTTAAGCTTCTGGAATGCAGTTTGGGAATCAAGTTTCCAGCTTAAAATATGGATATCTGCCTTTAGGGCTCGCTTTATTAAGCTGATAAAGAGGCCTTGTGGTCTCCTACCATACTCCGCTATCCAAAGGTGACAAAAGCCTGGAATTCTAGGAATCCCCTTAGGTGTTTTAGGGACTTGGGTTGCAGGAAGTAAAGTATTTAATTCTCTCCTCCCTCAGCCTTTGGCTTCCCTTAGATACGATAAGACCCAAGTATTTTACCTCAAGGCTGCAGAGTTGTTCCTGAGACCTAGAAACTTTATAACCCCTGCCTACTAGAAAATTTAGCAGAGCATAGGTGCCTTGGGTAGAGAGCCTTTCTGCGGGGGCACATAGCAGTATATCATAAGACGACGACCTCAGAAAATTCAGAATGTGGCAAGTTGTGGGAAAGCACCTGAGCAAAAAGATGATTGTCGCGGAATTTTCTTTGTTTTAATGTATTTAGTACAAGGTCTCACTATACAGATCAGACTCCTAGTGATTCTCCTGTTTTCAGCCTCCCAGGTACTGGGATTATAGGCGTGTGCCACCACACCTGGGCTCAATCATAAATCTCAGCGCGCCCCTGGGATGGGGCCAGCGCTGCACACTGGGATCAAACCCCAGTCCTTGCGCCTGCCTAAGCAGGCTGCTGAGCTAACTGGCCAGCCCTTGTCTCTCAATTCTTGAGGAATCATAGTCAAGTCAATTGATAAGCCTGGTCGTGAGGATGTTCAAAGGCAAAAAGAAACTGGGAATCTTTATGTAAAGAAATACAAAAGAAAGCATCTTTTATTTATTTTTTGTTTATTAGTTTTTTACCAGGGATCAAACTTGAGACCTTGTACTTGCCATGCAGGCCTTTATTTATTATGGTGAGCTATCTCCCCATCCCAGAAAGCATCTTTTAAATTTAACACTGAAAATCAACTGGCATCTTTGGGGATTTGAAAGGAGAGTTTAGGTACCACTGGGTGAATGGGTGCTACTGCCTTATTTGCCAGCTGTGGTCGTGTACCTTCATTTCCCATTGGGTTTTTGAACTCCAAAGATTATAGACTGTTGCAAGAGTTGTTGCAGTGTTTGAGTTGATCTTGTTCCCTTTTTTTTTTTTTTTTTAAACTTTAGGCCTTAGTGGGTATTGTCTCCAATGAGGGAAAATAGGATCTTTGAGATGTTTTGTTCTAGAGCAGCTCTTACTACTCTACCTGTTTTACCTTTGCTTGGCCATGCTTCAGGATTTATGTCTTATCTCCATGAAGGGGAGGCAGTGTACCTGACCTGGGCGCGTGTGTATTACAGTATTCAAACAAGAGAAGCTATCTCTCCCCAGGAGGAAAACTGGACTCTCAGGGGCAATTAAAAAGGAATGTAAAAAGAAAGTCATGGTCTTGCAGCCTAATGACTGAGAAATAGCAAGTTACCTCTTCTCCAGGGACTGCTTTCACTGAAATATGATGGTTGAAAGGAAGGCCCATGGTTGGAAAGAAAGACCGAGAGACACACACCAGTGCCTAGTAATAGACGAGTTTCTTTTCCCTCTGTAGTCATGATGACTGGGGGCTCGTCCATGGAGATGACAGTCCGTCCCGAGAGAGTAGGCAGGGCGTGCCCTGGGACCCTTCAGTCTTAAGTACACCAGCTGGTAAAATTGATGTGAAACCGGGGGCTGCTGCCTCAGGGGGAGGTCCATAGAAGTCCTCTTTTTGTGAGGTGTTTTTTTAGACAGGGTTTCTCTGTGTAGTTGAGGCTGGCCTCAAACTCATAGTGATTTGAGTACTGGGATTATAGGTATGTGCCACTGTTATGGTTTGTGTATAGTCCCCCCAAAGCCTTATGCAGTCTTGGGGTGGCTTCTGGAGTTCCTGATTGATTATTGTGGGTGTGGATGCTGCACCCGCCCTGGGGCAAGTAGTTTGCATTACATTGTAAAGTGGGAAGAGAAGCTAGCTGCTTGAGCTGCTGCTGCTCCCTTGTGCTCTTGCTCTTTGCTGTTGCCATGAAAGGTTGCCCTCTGCCCTCTGCCCTCTGCCATGTGCTGCTCTGTCTTGGAGCCAGCTGAATATGGACTGAAACCTCCAGTAACTGTGAGCTAAATAAACCTTTCCTTCCTTCATTTTGGGTATCTCAGTGATGAGAGAAGAGTTATTAAGACAGCCACCCTCCCCAGCCTTGTGAACACCTTTGTTCCGGCTGTCATGGCTCTCTTTTAATTGACTCAAAAGGTTTATCTTTCTTAATCATTTTACTTTGGGGAAGAGCCAAAAGTCTCACAATGCCAGATCTGGTGAATAAAGTGGATAAGGACACATTACAGTGTTTCTACAAGCCTGTGCCCCCACCCCTCTTTCTTTTTCCTCCACCTCCCCCAGCCTCCCTCCAGCCTGCATCTGCAGAAGCCTGCCTTTCTGTTGGATGCTGCTTGGCACCAGCATCATCTCATTTGGTAATCGGACCTCTTAGGGACACCCATGAAAAAGGACTCCAGAACTGCTCCAGGAAGTGGCAGGAGTGATGGGCACGTGCACTCAAAGCAAGTGGAGCCTTCTGACAGGGGTTAATGTCAGTGTCTTTTTCTGTAGTACATTTTAAAAAGCTTATTCATTTACTATGTATTTTGATTACCCCTTGTGCTTTAATAAACACAAGGAAAACCAATAGTTTAATAATTGTGATGAGCTGATTAATAAGGTATGAGCCGATTCCCACTAGAGCAGCCTACTTTAGTCTTTCCTTAACCCTGGGATGTCTGAAAATGAGCAGAGTGCAGAGGTCACAAGTTGTTGCTAGGTATGTGTTTTGAGGGACAGTAAGGAATCTGCATATTCTTTGCTGATACCGGAAAAAATTTTTCTTTCATTTTAATATTAATCTTAAAATGAATACACTCAAGCTGCTTATAGCTCTGACAGTCTCAGTGCTGTTATTCTTTTTGACAGGAGGGAAAATGTATGACATGGTGAAGGTCAGATTACCTTATATGGCTCTGTGCTGTGGGGTCTCATCTCAGGGTGATTCGGAGTCACCAGTGGTATGTGGATTGTCATTGCCAGGGTGGGCAGCGGGAGGGATGGACAGCACATTGTGCATTGGAGGGAACCTGGACCAATGCAAAGCAGCTCAGCAGGCTTTCCTTGTAAGTTAACCTGCTATGAATTTGAGATTTATTGATAGTAATGTTTAGTGTTTAATTTGCACATTTGTTTTTGTTTAAAGTAATCAAAAGGAAAGCGTAATGAGCGTGTTCACAGTTTTATTTGTGCATATTTATAGATAGACACTAGAAAAGCCACAGGAGAGTTTCCCTAAGAAGTGGTGGGCTTCTGTAGGGGTTCAAATTCAAGATTTGTGATTGTAGAAAGAGAGCTGGGGTTATCCTTCCTAGTTATGGGACCTGGGGCTAGTCACCCAGCCTTATTGAGCCTCCCCTGCAGAGTGGAGAAACTATAACAGAAGCTACACCTGAAAAGTGGAACCCACTTTGCCATGTGTTGCATGGCCTGGGGACTCTGAGGTTCCAGCCAGTTCTAGGTGTTGCCCATCTGGTCCCATATAATACCCAGAGTGGTTAGGGTTTGAACCCCTTCATTCCACTGCTCAGAAGGTTGTTTATACTTGACATTCACAGTACTTTCTGCCACCCTAGCCTGTGTCCAGAGCATATTTGGGTCATCTGGTGCCCATAATAGCCCTTCATGCACTTGGCTAGTGTCTAGTGGGCACTCAGTATGTCCTAAATTGAATCCCACCCACTCTTGTCTGTATGTCAGAGTCCCAGAGGGCTTACAGACCTGGTGGACAGCTATAAGGAATCACTTGATTTCAGACACATTCCTCCCACATTCATAGGTCACAGGAACAAACCATACTGTCCTAAGAGTTCTACAAATTAACGAAGATCTGTCCCTTTTCCTGTTCCCAGGCTGCTTCATCTTTCAGGGCCTTTTCTTTTACATTTGTTTCTCTTTGCATCTTCTGTAGTAGCAGAGAAATCTTGAACTATCTGTCAGCATAGTGTAAGCCTAGGGGCCCAGTAGAGACTGGTGTCTTTTTCCTAGTCTCTGAACAGTGAGTCCTGGTCACATTACCTACCTGATAGGGTGTTCTTTCCAGTCTTCTCCGTAATCTCTCCTACTAACATGTTTGCCTGCCTGCCTGCCAGCCTGCCTGCCTACCTGCCTACCTGCCTACATTCTATCCCTGGTGTGGAAAGAGGCCAGTGTACCTGTGGGTTTGTGGAATATCTCCCAGGTGCTCTGGATTTGATACCAGATGTGAAATTGGGCAGTATTCTTTTTCAGGAAGATTGGTTGCTGTGTAGAATCACATAAGGCCTTTAGCTAGCATATCTTTGGGCACATTTTTTAAAAAATTTATTTATTTATTTTTGTGGTACTGGGGATTGAATTTAGGACCTTGCACTTGCCAGGCAGATGCTTATTCTACTTAGCTATCTCCCTGGCCTGTTGGGCACATTTAAACAGGACATGACCTGCACATTCCTCTTTGGAAAGAAACTGCAGCCCAAAGTCTGGGACAGCTACCGTTTCTGACTTTTCTAGCACTGTGGTCTGGCACTGCTTTTTATTTTATTATTTATTTATTTATTTGTATTTTAGGGAAGGGTCTACAGGGTGTTCAGGGTCTCCCTACTAGATCGGACTCATAGTGATCCACCTGTTTACAGCCTCCCAAGAGCTGGGATTGCAGGCACATGCCACCATGCCCAGTCTCAGTTGCCATCTCAGGGTGCCCTGGGGGGCGGGGCCGGCTCAGCAGGCCTGGGGATCACAGATAGCTGAGCTATTTGGCCTGCCCTTGGCACTGCGTTTTAAATCAGAGCATTTGTGTGTCTGTATAAAATGTGAGCAAGTCTACCTGTGTATTGGAGGACAGAGTATGTAGCTGTCTCAGAAACATTTGGAGGTGTCGTCAGTAGATTGCAAAGCTTCTTCCCTTAGAGCCAGAGAGTGTGCACGCGCCATCATGAGCATGACAGGGATTCAGATGCAGGACCTAAATCGCAGGTGAAAACATTGCCTAGAGTGAGGTGGGCCTGCGAGGGCTGGCCCAGCGGTGCAGGAGGGCCAAGTCCTAGGTGTAGTGTTCGCTGTGAGTTGGCCTGAGTGTGCATGTTAGGCTACTGTCCAGTAAACTCGGCCTCTAGCCACACCTGGGCTTTGTAGATGTACATTCAGTAGAAGCAGATAAAATTAAGAATGCAGCTTCTTGGTCACATTTCACAAATTCAGGAGCCACAAGTGGCAAATGGATGGATACTGTTCTACAGGGAACATCCCAGCCCAGAGGTGTTTGGAAATCAACTGCCACCATCCTCTGTCTTCAGTGGTTACTTACGAGGGAGCGAATTTGTGTGCTTTGGCCCTCTGCAGGTGGAGCTGGAGGTCACACTGCCAGGAGAAGGCAAAGACCGCATCTTCAAGGTGTCCATCAAGTGGGTGTCCTGCGTGAGCTTACAGGCGTTACACGATGCACTTTCGGGGCGGCTGCCCAGTGTCCCTTTTGAGACGATCCAGGCCCTGGATGTGGTCATGAGGCATTTGCCGTCCATGAGGTGAGAGTGCCACATGGGACCAAAGGGCTGGGTGTGACTGGGAAGCATACTGTCTCTGTCCCAGGCCAGGCACCATGTAGATGTTTTATGGCAAAGAGTAAATAGGACTAAGATAGAAAAAAATAAAAATTAACCACCAGCATTTTCAGCCAAGCCTAAAAGGATTACCTCCCAATCTTGTGCCTCTGGATGCTTTTTGACCATATGCTTTGTGTGGGAAGCACTTTGTGTACCTTGTCCTGATGCACAGGACTCACAGTGATAAAGCCCTAATGCCCTGCTTGGCTGTATGTCCACCCTACAGGACCTTCTCCATACATGATCATGACTGTGGGCAGCACCTTGGACTTTTTTTTTAATTCTAGATAATTTTCTTGTGGCCAGAGATCGCTACGCTTGGCACTGCTAGGATAAAGGGCGGGTGAATGTTGTGGCTCCCATCTGCTGGACAGAGGTCGTGCCAGCCTCCTATGACAGCAGCATGGTGGAGCAGGCCATTTCCACACTGGGGTTCTCACAGCAGTGCCACCCCTTGATCTGTCACCCAGCCGTACCTCAGGCACAGTGGGACGGGACCAATGAAGAGAGGAAACCAGACAAGAAGCCCCGCTCCACACTGACTCTCCAGGCCTCACTGGTCTGCAGAGGAAGGAGGGCTATGTATGAAGGCCCCTGAAGCCAGGCAGTAGATGTAGGGAGAGCTGTGGAGTCTGTAGCTTCAGGCTTGGATGGAAGTAACACCTAGGGCCAGCTATCACTCTTGGCAGGGCCTGCTACATAATCTGTCACTTGGAACTGTTGATAGGTGGAAGCAGGCAGGAGCAGAAACAGTGTAGAAGGATGATAGCCAGATGTCTGTATTTTTAATTGAGTGATTGGAATGATTAGTTTCTCTTTTCTGAATGGATTATTTACATTAATTTTACAATCAGGGAGGAAGCTGCTATTTTCATTTTGGAAGACTAATGGAAATAGAGGCACCACTAGCACATTTCAGGTAGAAAAAGAAAAGAGCCATCTCCATGATTTTATTAATAGTGCAGCCCCTACTAATCTGTACCCACCGTGTACTGTTGGGGAGGTGTACTTGGGTCAGAGGGTCTGTGGCTTGAGTTCACACGTGTCCCAGCAGAACGTGAGTCCCATGCTGGCTTACTGTTCCCTGTACACCACCTCAAGCTCCCAGTGCCGTGAGCTCATGTGCTGCTGGTCCTCAGTCCCTGGAAAATGGAGCTGAGAGAAATAGGGAATGAGTGCCAGGCCACACAGTCCCTAGCAGCGCTGCGCCGGTTCAGCTGCCTCAGCCTGATAGTCACGACACATGGCAGATGCTCACGCTAATCTGCTCCTGTGTAGCTGGCAAGGCCCTGCTCTGGAGAGACTTGCAGCGGTGCACAGGCATGCAGTCCAAGACGTAGAAAGTAAACCCACAGACTTCGACAGAAGACATGAGAGTGTTGAAAACACCAAAGCAACGGGGGGGGGGGGGGGGAATAGTGATCCCCAGCACCCGCATGCTGTGCTGGCCCCAAGCCCCGGCCTCCGCCCCCCTCACGGGGGACACCCCTCCGTATTAGGGGGGGGGGGGCGGGGGGGGGGGGGTCCCGTGTGTACCCTCGGGCCCTGAATCTATTCACAAAATCCCCTCAGAATGGGCCCTACATCTGTGCACTAGAACCACATACGGTCCCCAGCCAGTTTGAACTGAAACTGAGACTCAAGAAAAGTCCCCAGGGCTCTAGCTCACACAGTGTGTTTGAAAGGAGCTGTTGCATCAAAGAGGCTGGGATACAGAAAGGAGAAGCAGTTCTATAGGGAAGACATCAGAGTACCACCATGTGAGTGTTGGGCAGAGCAAGGGCGGGCCTGACATTTGCAGCACAGGTGAGCAGGTGGGACTTTTCTGGGTTCCAGGTACACCCCTGTGGGCCGTTCCTTCTTCACCGCATCTGAGGGCTGCTCCAACCCTCTTGGTGGGGGCCGAGAAGTGTGGTTTGGCTTCCATCAGTCTGTCCGACCTTCTCTTTGGAAAATGATGCTGAATATTGATGGTAAGCAAAGTGGGGTCATTATTGCAATATAGGTTGGGGAACAGATAAAAGGAAAGATCCTTTGTGGCCAGTTCCAAACATGGCCTCTGGCAGTGCATGCGCCACCTGCATGACATGTCAGGGCAGAGCAGTGGTTCCCAGGTGGGCATCAGAGCCCCCTGGAAGGCCCCATCCCTAGAGGTGAATCAGAGCTGAGGAGCTACGAGGACCCTGTGCACTGGGCACAGACTCAGGCCATGCTCCTGACTTCCTTCCTGGGATCTTGGAGATTCACATGTTGGAGACACCTAAGGCTGGGCAGCTGGTTGGGGCCAGTTCATTGGGTCTCCTTGCCAGGCTTAGGCATGGCTCCCTGTCTGTCTCAGGAGAATCTGGTTGCTTCTTTGGGTTGCTCCCACTTCTCTGCCATGGAGATAAGAGTGAAAGAAGGAATTCACTCTTCCTTTCTTTTTTCTTGTAGCCAGCTCAGCCCACCCTGGGGGTGGGGCTGGCTCTGCATTCATGCAGGGGATCAAACCATGGTCCCTGCGCTTTGCCTAAGCTTGCCTAAGCAGGTGCTTTAGACCACTGAGCTATCTCGCTGACCCTAAAGATTCCTTCCTTCCTTCCTTCCTTCCTTCCTTCCTTCCTTCCTTCCTTCCTTCCTTCCTATCTTTCTTTCCCCGGCTCTGCCCACCACATGGCATGTGGTGCTGGGGATTGAACCGTGGTCCCCTGCACCTGCCGAAGCTTGCCTAAGCAGGTGCAGTAGACCACTGGAATTCACTCCTGCTTGGGCGTTAAATACAAGAAGCTTTAGCAAAAGCTTGAAAATTATATCTTGCTCAGATACACATTTATTGAAAAATAAATGAGTGGCAAATGAAATACTATACCAGAAGACGGTCAGAAGATCCTACAAAATCTGACGTATGGCTCACCCAATCTATTAGGATTTTTGTTTTTAAAACTAGTTTTATTCTCAAGAGAGCAACTTTGTAGACTCTGGTAGCCCTTTCCTGGTTCCCCGACCAGAGAAAGCATCACATCGCTGCGCTCATTCCTACGCTCTCGGGCGTGGAACTCTGGGTGTTTCTTACCACAAAGCCCCAAGGGTGAACTCTGCAGTGAGCATGAAGGCCTGGCGTCTTCCTCCCTGGGTGCCCGGGTATCCAGGTGGCTTGATCTGCATAAGCCACTGCAGGATTGTTGGGTAGTCTGCATGTAGGGACACCACCCAACTTTTGTCTCTGTCTTTGTTTTCCTGCCTGCAGTGTCAGCGACAGCTTTTTACAAGGCACAGCCAGTGATCGAGTTTGTTTGTGAAGTTTTGGACTTTAAAAGTATTGAAGAACAACAAAAACCTCTGACAGATTCCCAAAGGGTAAAGTTTACCAAAGAAATTAAAGGTAATGAGCCATCCCAGTACATCAGGTCAGGGGCAGGGAAGCCCCCTAAGAGCACTTTGTCCATGTGCTTGTGAGTTTCTGTCCCCACACATACAGAGGGAAGTAGAGGAGGTGGCAGATGACAGCCATCTCATGAATTATCAGAGATAATTACATCCCATCCCACAACGGGAGTGATGGTTTTCTAAGGAAATACACGTGTCCATGTGGGGCAGGAACAGAATAGATCAGTAGTATCCAAATCCCAGGCATGAGACCTAGAAGTAACCTCAGACAGCAGTGTGGTGTTACCACCCCTTGGGAACCCAGTAGCAGACACAGCTCCCACAGCAGGTGTGCAACCAGGGTTGCTGCTGGAAGCCACAGGCAAGCATGGCCCCTGATGCTTGCCGTGCTGTGTCACAGGTCTAAAGGTGGAGATAACGCACTGCGGGCAGATGAAGAGGAAGTACCGTGTTTGCAATGTGACCCGGCGGCCTGCCAGCCACCAAACGTAAGTAGCCATCTTTTCATACTCCTTCCTATAGGCTCAGGTCTTCCCAGTCACTCGGTTTCCAAATTCTGGGACCTTGATCCTCTTGGAAAGGATCTTATTTTGTTCTCTGTTCTAGAGTGCCAGGATTTTATCTATATGGCTCACTAGATCCCAAACTTGACCTATGGAAATAAACTCAAATGCAGTATTGAAATTCACCCTTACTGGGAAGGAGTAGACTTCCGTGGGTGAGAGAAATGTCTCTGCTGTTGACGAGTTCTAATTCAGGGAAAAGCTGGGTGTCTGTGGACACTCTGAACCCCCAGGTATAGCTAGGCCTCAACCCTGCCAGCCTGCCTGAGGTGTCCCTCTTCTGCTGTTTGTCCCATTACTTTGAGAATCAATTTGGTGATTCAAGTCCTTGCTGTCTTTTATAAGAATACAGTATTCATTTTGGGAGAAGTGATAGTTTTGGACCTTATGCCCTGACTCATTTGTTTATCTTGCAATCTTTCCGTGGAAGACACCTGCTTTATTGCCAGGCACTAGAAACACCGAGGTCCCTAGGGCCTCGTGGAGCAGCAGGGGAGACCAGCTCTGTCTGGCACTGTGCCGTCCTTCCATTAGCAGGTACCAGATTGCCTAGCAGTGTAGGCACAGTGGAGCAGTCTTGCAGGACAGGATGGGGTCACCAACCCATTCTCTTCTGCTCTTGGTCCTCCTTCTTCAGTCCTGCACAGAACCATGGATAGGTACAAGAACAGCCTGGCTGACGCCTGTCCTGGAAGTGTCTTCCTGGCACTTGAAGGCCTGGTCAAAGGGTGATTTTCAAGAGTTGCCATAGTCTGAGGAAAGTCCTTGGGCTTTTTTGTCTGGATTTATCTTTGTCTGGAATCCATTTTAGAACTTGTAGGCATGTGGGTCGTTCATGATTATTGCTTACCTTATGCTTGTGGGCAGTTTTTATTTTCTAGCCTATAGAAACAAAATGAGAACTGGAGGTCTCTGGAATAAATAGTCCATGTCATGTAGAGGACGAGGTTTGGGTTTTCCTCCTAGGACTTGCTCTGAGCACTTGGCTTCCCACCTGTCACTCTAGGAGAGTAAACCCAGATATGCAGTCATGGGTGAGCTGTGTATAGGCTCCAGTGGTGGTTCTGTGAAGCCCAAGATGTTTTCACCTGAGCTACCTCTTTGTTCTCCAGGTTCCCTCTACAGCAGGAGAGTGGGCAGACAGTGGAGTGCACAGTGGCCCAGTACTTCAAGGACAGGCACAAGCTGGTTCTGCGCTACCCCCACCTACCATGTTTACAGGTTGGACAGGAGCAGAAACACACCTACCTTCCCTTGGAGGCAAGTGGCTTGTGTCTGTCATGTGTCTCTGGGTTTGGAGAGGAGACATGAAGGGGCCAGGTCATGCAACCTCCAGAAACACAGGCTTGTCATTCCTGCTGCTGTAAGACCCTGGGCAAATTAGAGGATGTTGCCGAGCCTCCATTTCCCCTGTGATAGGATGGGATTGGCAGCACTGGTGGAAGTGGTGTGAGGACTGACACAGAAAAGTCAGTCCTCAGGACCTGTGCTGATTGTTTATCTATTTCTTACATAGCATTAAGGCTGTGTGAAAACTCTGGTACTTGGTAAAAGATCAATCACCAAAACTAACAAATGCATTTCTCGTGTCCTGGCCCAATGATAGACTTCCTTTTTCTTGAGCAGCCAGTTCTTCCCTTTCCTCTCCTCCCTTCCCCTGTTCTTCCCTCCTCTCCCTTTTCTTGTCCTCTCTTCTGTTGTCTTCTCTTCTCGTTTGTTTCTTGTTTTAGTGTTATTTTTTGAGATAGGATCTCACTATATAGTACAGGCTGGCCTTGAGCTCACAGTCCTCCTGCTTCAAACTTCTAAGTGCCGGAATTACAGGTGCTTGCCACCACATCCAGCTGAACAGCCAGCTTCATGAAATGAAATTTTATACTCTTCTCCGCTGAGAACTGGAGAGAGCCCAGGAACCTTGGCTTGGACCTATGTTTGTGTTGTGTTTGGTTAGAGGCCAGTGGGTGAGAGCCAGTAGGCTATGAAGCAGCTGCACTGTTGGGCAGGGTGCTGGCCCTCACCTGCTCCCCTGTCTACATGCAGCACAGGTACTGACCCCTCTGCATCTCCTTCGTAGGTCTGTAACATAGTGGCAGGACAGAGATGTATAAAAAAGTTAACGGACAATCAGACTTCAACCATGATCAGAGCAACTGCCAGGTCGGCACCTGATAGGCAAGAAGAGATCAGCAAATTGGTAAGGGCTGTGTCCTTGGGGTCAGTCCTGGGATGGCACTGCACAGCGAAGACATCCCCATGCTCTGGACAGACATGGCTTCCACAGTCTGCAGAGCCCTGCCTGACTTTGAACTTTCTCTTTCTGTTCTCTTTTCAAGATGCGAAGTGCAAGTTTCAATACAGACCCATATGTTCGTGAATTTGGAATCATGGTGAAGGACGAGATGACAGATGTGACTGGGCGGGTCCTACAGCCACCCTCCATCCTGTACGGGGGCAGAGTAAGTCCAGAGGGGAGGCAGGAGGGGAAATGCATCTGCACAGCGCCAGTGGAATCCCTGTGTCTGATCCTTTTGGGTTCTGTGCCTTTACCCACACTGCCGTGCAGAGCCTGGGCAATGAACAGGCGCTTGCTCTGGGCTGCTCCTGAGTGTTCCTTGGCTTTGTGAAGACATGGCTTTCTTGGTTCTTAGAAAGCTTCTCAGAATTGTCCTTAATGTTTCAGAAGATCATTTTATTTCATCAGATTGTAAAAGCAGTCATTCTTTCATGTTAATAGGGATTTCTCCTGCTTCTCTGTTCTTTAACTCTTGCTTTCAGGTACTTGGTAGGAAGCATCACAGTTAGTATTTTGCCAGTGTATCCTCTGGTTTTAGTAGTGAGCCAGAAGGTCCTGACGATTAAGTCTGTGGGGCTCATGAGAAGGGCCTCCCATTTCCTCGGAGGGGGCCCAGTGATGGAGCAGGGGCAGTGCCCAGACTCACTGGCCTGGCTTCTTAGTAGCTGAGTTCAAAGGAGGAGTTTCTACCAACTTTGTTCTCTTATCTACTAAATTTTACTGTAGTCTTTGAGATTCATAACAAGGTAAAGTTTTGTTTTAACTTGGTTCTCATTTGTAAGATGAAAGTTCTTTTTTTTTTTTTTTTTTTTTTTTTTTTTTTGTTTTGCATTGCTGAGGCTCAAACCCAGGGACTTGTGTTTCATTTTTATAAACGTCTTAGAATTCAAAAGTTATAAAAGAATTATACAAAAAGCCTCTTTTTTTCCAGCTCTCAATTGCCCCCTCAGGAAACAATTGGTATCATCTTTCTCCTTTGTAAAGCCACCCACGAATTATTACATATTTTTTTCATGCCTTTCGTACATGCTGATCCCTGCCTTTTGTCACTGTACTTTTCCTCAAAGCGTTCACCAAAATCTTACAGGTTGTATAGAATGTGAGTTGGCTCTTTGTGGCTGTTGCAGTGTCTGTGTTGGATGTGTCTGTGTCTGCCGTGGCCTAGCGGCACGCCTGTCCTAAAAAAAACTTCTTGTTTGTGGGCCTGCCCACTCTGCGCGCCCCAATACTGTAGACACAGCATTTGTTCACTGCCTTGGCCCCAAGTGGAGAGTGCTTGCTCCCTTGCACAAGTGAGAGAAGAGGTCCTACAACGGGAAGAGGCTGGTTCCCGAGGCCCTGGGTGGTAAAATGAAGATTTCAAACGTAGTGGTCTGTCACTGTTCCTGTTTTCCTCTATTTCATTGTTGTCCTGCCTCTTACTAATGAGCAGTTTGAACAACAGAATCCTTCTTGTTTTGTTTTGTTTTAATGTCAGGAGTTGAACTCAGGACCTTGTGCTTGCCAGGCAACCACTTGTGTTGCTGAGCTATATCCTCAGCTTCAAAGTCCTTCTCTCCCCACTCCTCTTTTTGAGACAGGGTCTCACTATGTAGTTCATGTTGGCCTTGAGCTCACTGTATAGCCCAGGCTAGTCGTGAACTCACAAGGATCCTCCTGACTGCTGGGATTACAGGTGTGTGTCACCACGCCTGGCCCAGAATCCCTCTTGTAATCAGCATTGTAATGCTGGAATCATAGGGATTAAAAGAGCACGTAGCATCTCTAAATGAGTGCATTTTTCTGGATCCCCAAGACGTTTTTCCATGAGGAAACACCCTCCGTGCTGCTTTTATCACCTCCCCTGCCTACTGTCCACTGTTAGTGCAAGAAGCGAATTCCCCTCTGTAAGCAGTTGTAGAGCAGGGGCTCACAGCCAGCAGACAGCTTGTGGTACCTGGAGATACTGTTCTTCGTTCCTGCTCAGGTGGGCAGGCCTCCTGGCACCTAGTAGGCAGACCAGTAATACGCACAGGGCACACATGAAGAACTGCCAGCCCCAAGTCTCAGTCTCCTGAGTTGTCATCTCGATAGTAAGAGCCATTTCCTATGACGATCCCATGCACTGTGTGTGTGTGTGCTTGTCGTGTGCGTGTATGTGCACATTGGCAGTTGTCTAGTGTAGAAGGAGTCATGGAAGCAGGCAGTGACAGCACCTTCTGTCTCTAACACAACTATAGGCATGGGCAGAGGAAAAGAGTCCTAGGCTCAGTTCTTGCTGTGTGTCCACACTCTAGACCCAGGGCTGGGGGAGAAGGCTAGACTTCCTTCCTGCCCAGGCGGTCTTAGTGGTAGTAGATCGGTAACCTAAGGCACAGCCTTCAGTGCAATGTGAAAGCTTCCTTGGCATTGTAGGGTGCTTGGTTCTCTAGGCTAACAGAATTCTGGGGTCATCTCACTCTCTGTGGGTTACACGCACATGCAGTCTCCCTCTGTCCACAGCAGTTGTCTGTCCAACTTCCTCTTCACCCACCCTCTCCATGTATCTCCCTTCCATCCTCTGTCCAGCTTTCTGCTCTGCTGTCTGTCTGTTCATCCCATCATCCATCCGCCCATCCATCCATCTATCCCCTGCCAACCACTTTTCCATTCCTTTTCCATCAACTGTATGCCCATAGTCTCCGCCAGTTATCCAGCCACTCTGCAAACATGTGCAGGTTGCCTATAGTACTAGTTAAACTAGAGATAGGGTGACACAAAGGTCAAGTTATTAACCTCAGGAGGCACTGTCAGCCGTGGGGAACCAGCAGTGAGACTGACAAAAGCCAAGGTCAAAGGACTGTTCTCTGTGTTTTCTTACCCTACATTCCTTGCCATTTACAGAACAAAGCAATCGCTACCCCTGTCCAGGGTGTCTGGGACATGAGGAACAAGCAGTTCCACACAGGCATCGAGATCAAGGTGTGGGCCATTGCTTGCTTTGCACCACAGCGCCAGTGCACAGAAGTCCATCTGAAGTAAGTCACCTAAAAGCATCTGGCCATGGTTTTACTGGTGGGTCGGGAGCAACAGACTGTTGGGAGGACTTGTCTGTCTTGTGTGTCCAGGTGTATGTGCCATCCAGGGTTCATGTGGCGGGGGGATGGAGGGAGGAGAGTCGTCAACCTTCCTTGATCCAAGAGCAATTGCCGGGGCAGGTTTGGCCAGGAACTGCATTCTTCTCAGTATACTGCTTCCTCTGGGACTGCTACCAGGGTGAGTGTGAAGAAACAGCACAGATTGCATACAGAAAACAACATTATTTGAGTTAAAAGTAAAGGCAGAGCTTGTGAACACCTATGGTCCATCTCTTGGTGGAGCTGTGGCCAAGGGCTGATTACGTGAGCCAAGAGTTTCAGGCCAGGCTAGGCAACTTAGCAAGAGCTAAATAAATAGGTAGAGCTAAAAGAAAAAATGGTTTCAGTGAACTAAATTAATGATACACCTTAGCTTGATATACCTGTTAATTAAATGAGGAGGAGAAAGGGCAGCATGGGTGGTAACAGGAAGGTGGTCAGGCTAGGAGTATCCTCTTTGTTCTTGCACCAGGGGAATGTTTAAAATAAGTTGGGGAGGCTTTGGTTGCTGAAGCCTCCTGCCCCTGGGCCAGGAGGACTGGGGACAGCAGTGGGACACCCTGCCTGGCTGGTGTCTGCAAGTATATGGTCTGATGGCTTATGCTTTTTTCAGTATTACAAGGGAAAATTTTTCCTGCCTGTCTCTGTGGGTACAAGGTGGTTAATAACTTGACCATTCCAGCAAGAGGTTGTTCTACAAAGCCTGGTGGTGGTGGAGGGGGGAGAGGTGGCAGTGGTATGAGAGGCCTGTCCTTGTAGGTCTCTCTCCATCCTGGAGGCAGAGAAAGGGTTGGGAGACAGATTCGAGTTCAGACGCTGGGCAGCTCTCCTGGCCATCTCCCACCCTGCCCGCCTTTCCACTTTCGCCCAGAGCTAAGTGGCCCTGAGATGAAACGCAGATGTGCACCTAAGTGTTCCTGTGGCCCAATTTGTTTCTCGTGTACAAACTGAAGACGGATGTGATTAATTGTAGTGTCCTCACACTGATTGTAGAAGGCCACATGACTTTATGCTTAAGTTTAATATAGAAGCTGTGGGTCTGTGTCGTGTGTGTGTGTGTGTGTGTGTGTCCATGTGTCCAGCTGAGCTGGTGGGCTTCTCCTGGTGTACTGCTTTGGTGCATGGGCCATTTTGCTTGTCCTGGTCTAAGTTGTGCCCCTGGGATAAGGGGAACATCTGAGAAAAGTAGGGACTAATAATTTTCCCTTCTCAATGATAGGACCTGGGACTGGGGAGATGGCTCAGTGGAATAAGTGCTTCTCTGGTGAGCACAAGGGCCTGAGTTCAATCCCCAGTCCTGCCAAAAAAAAAAAAAAAGATAGGACCTGCTGTTCACCTGGGGAAACGTGTGTCCTCCCCTCACTCAGGGCTGTCATGGCCTGCCAAGTAAAGGAAAGAACTTTCTATGGGGTGATTTGTTTTAGTAGATGTGGTTTTATAACTGGTTTTGTCTAGGAATTAAAGAAATTGAATAGTGACCCCATGGCACACATGTTTACATCAAGCTCTTTGTATCTTCAAAGATTCTAAAAGGTTCACAATCATTGTCCATAAGCACGCTTTGCAGGGTAGGGATGCAGTCAGTGGTAGACTACTTTGCTGCCAAGCACAAGGCCTGCATTTGAGCCTCACCAACCAAAAACAATGCTCCCATGCTCTCAGCTTCATTTATCTTGTGTGTTTCTCGTTGGTCTAAACTGTTAGCCACTTGCAGTTCATTCTAACAACACAGACCTTCTCCTTCAGGTCCTTCACGGAGCAGCTCAGAAAGATCTCAAGAGATGCAGGCATGCCAATCCAGGGCCAGCCATGCTTCTGTAAATATGCACAGGGGGCAGACAGTGTGGAGCCTATGTTCCGGCATCTAAAGAACACATATGCTGGCCTCCAACTGGTGGTGGTCATCCTGCCTGGAAAAACCCCTGTTTATGGTAGGTCTGGTTATCTACCAGCTTTGGGAACCAATGTGGTCTGTACGGTGTGGGAGCTGCACAGGAATACTTGCTGTGGGTCCATTCCGGAGCCTGAGGAAGTAGTAGTTGTGGCCCCCTTGCCATCCGTGTCTCCTATGAGCCCACCATCCTGGATAGCTGGCACACTCCAGTTCCCCAAAGCTCAGCTCAGGGGCGTCCGCGTCCCCACACAATAACAGTGTTTGGGCAGGGAGGAACATCTCCTAGCACCCCAGTGTGCTTCTGAGGATGGTAGCCACAACCCTGAGTGTCTGGGACTCAGTCTAACATTTGCAATCTCTGTAATTCTCTGGAAGTTTCTTATGAGTGCAGTTGCTTGAATGTATGGACCACCTTTGGTAGTGTCCCAGCTTTCCAGAGAACATAGAATAAAACCAAACATAGCTCTCCACTCAGGAAGCCCCAGGTAATAGGGAAACGGTCAAGGGCAGGCCGTGCACATCCAGCTGCAGCAAGGTAAGAGCTGTTTGTAACACATCAGAATCCCAGAAGCTCTCTGCAGGAGTTTGGGGTCCTGGTATGAGAGCCTGTGGGCAGGGGCCCTTAAGCAGAAGGAAGGTACTGGATCCTCATCCAGCCAGAGGCAGATTAGAGACATGTGAAAGCCACACTTCTATTCTTCCAATTTCTACCTCAAAAAAAGGAAGAAGAAAGCCACTCATGTTGACGTGCTATTAATATTGCCCTGGAGTCATTGTTTCCACAGAGCTACCCTGGTGCAGTGACCAGCTGCTCTGTGAAAGAATCCAGGGTAAGAGGCGGTTTGGGCCTGCAGATCTCTTGGATGTCAGATCTGTGTTTGCCAAAGAGTCTGAGAATGCCAGTGTTTTGTTTTATTTTTTACTTGAGCCCATGCTATAACATAAGGCATCTTTGCTGCTGAGGAATGCTGAGCCTTCGATTCTTGCTGGTTCTGCTTGTCCTGGCTGGGCCTAGGACAAGTCATTTGAGTTGTCTTTGTTCTAAGATTGGAGGACTGAGTTGGAGGAATGCTGGGCTTCCCTTCCTGAGAAGGATAGGAGGGGCAGTGCCAAAGCAACACTGCCCAGAGCTGAGCCCACCCCACATGCCAGTAACTGTGCTCACAGGCTGACTGCAGCTGCCTGGAGCCCAGGACCCCTTTCATCTGGCCTTCCTCCAGTGTAGTTCAGAAGGGTGTCAAGAAAGCAGGGAGGACAGCTCAGAAAGAGGTGCTAATGGAAGCTGCGGTATATGTGCTTCTGTGCTCCACAGCTGAGGTCAAGCGTGTGGGAGACACAGTGCTGGGGATGGCCACACAGTGTGTGCAGATGAAGAACGTGCAGAGAACCACGCCACAGACTCTGTCCAACCTCTGCTTGAAGATCAATGTCAAACTGGGAGGTGTCAACAACATCCTGCTGCCCCAGGGCAGGTAAGGCCCCATGTATGGGGCATTTTTTTGGATGAGCTGGTTTTCTTGGCATGGGGGCCTAGTAGCCAAGGAGGTAGAGCTGTTACCCCAGCCGAGTGCTGTGTTAGACACAACAGACCAGGGAGGTCAGCAGGGATCTTAACCGCTTGTGGTCTCAGGGAGCGTGGCCAGAACAAGTGTTCCTTCCTTTTCCCTTGCTCCCAATAGGAGTACTTGCTCAGGAGTGTGTGGGTGAGTGGTGCTAAGCAGGGGCACACTTGGAGTGCCAGGAGACGCGTGCCCCTGCTCCTGGATCTGGAGCGGTGGCTGCTGCCTGGGCCTTACTCTTGCCCACTGCAGCTGGCTGTCAGTGCTGCTGAGCATCTTCTGGGGCATGCTGAAGTGAAGAGCTCCATGTAGGAGCCGCTGCTGCTGGTCCCCGGCCAGGGTCAAGACGTGTTGCCGAGCCCCGGCTGCCAGTGTGCCTCAGAGGTCTGTGGCTGGGGCAGTGGAGCTACACCTTCCTCCAACACCTCCTAGGCCTGGCAGAGCCTGAGGGCTGGAGTGCAAGGCCAAGGTCTGCTTACCCTTCGTCAGAGCCTGCTGGCCTCTGAAGCAGGCAAAGGAGCAGTCATTGTGATGACAGATGCTGCTGAGGCGACTTTGTCTTTAAAGACTCAGGAATGACACACAGTGGTGAAAACAGACTGTTCAGTGACTCAGTCTGTCTTAGAGTAAAGGAGGTAATTGTGAAGACTGTACGTAGTCATTGCTTCACCCACGCATTTGGAAAGCGGGCAGTGGTGAGTGCTACCTGTGTGCAGCCCACCAGGCTGCCCTGGATGACCCTAGTATCTCAGTCCCTTTTTTTCTTGCAAGGAAACCCCTGAAGTTGAGTTTGTTTTCCCCCTTCCTTCCCTCCCCACTCTTTCCCTCCCTTGACCTCTCCCTCCTTCACTCTGCCTTTTTGAGACTGGCTGTCTTATGTAGTCCAGCCTGGCCTTGAGCTCACTACATGATCCAGGTCTGCTGTGATCCCGCCTCAGCCTCCCGAGTGCAGGAATGACAAGCTTGAGCCACCACACCCAGCTAAATTCATACATCAGAAAGAAAAGAGGTGGGGAAGAGGTTTCTTTGTGTCATAGTTCTGGAGGTCCAAAAGCACCGTGTCAGCCTAGGCTCTTGAGAAGGTCACTTGTTCCTTCCCTGGTGTTCCACAGCAGGAACACCTCAGCAGGGGTCACAGGAGAGAGCGCTCACCATCTGACCCCTCCGCCATGGTAACCACATCACCTTCCACTGGGCCCCCACCTCTTGCTGCTATTAGATGGGAGACCAGCCTCTTACACCTGAGCCCTCAAGGGACACGACAGACCCCCTGTGTTCTTAGCATTGGCCAGCATCCGCCCTAGATGCCATGGGTTAGGACCTAGTATTCACCACTGCTGAGTTACACTGATGACTGGGAAGAACCCACAGAATTTGTGAGGAAATGGTGCCAGCCAGCTGGACTCAGAGAAGCAATCCTTGCACTCACTTAAGTCCTTGAGAGCAAATGAGAAATTATGAGGCACAGAACTCAGGACTGTGTCATCAGTCAACAAAGTGTAGACTGGATGCCTGCTGAATGCAAGCAATTTGGGCCCTAAGCATGAGCACAGGGCCCTGTCACAGCTCCTTGATGCAGGGGGCCAGACAAGAGTCCATAAAAAATCATAGCTGACGGAGCAGGTAAGCAGTCTCCCCATGCAGAGGGATGAGATCAGCTCAGGAGGGTGAGCAGCAGAGGCAGGTGACCAAATTCCAGGTACCGGGCAGCAAATGTGGGACTGGGCTGAGGGGCCAGGCCTTGGGTGTCCAAACCCTCCTCAGTTGTGCCCTGGAAGACTAGGTATGGTACCATGTGAAGTGGGGTAAGGAGTCTTGATTGTCTGAGCTGTGAGTGGAAGGGAAGAGGCTAAGATCGCTCCTCAGCTATGGGCCTGCACCCCAGAGTGGTTAGGCAGCACTGGTTGGGAAGGGGCTGGACTGAGTCCCCTGCAGGGATCTCAGAGAGACAATGAGGGACATGACCAGCACCCAGGGCCTGGCCATGGAGGAATCAGGGAACCCTCAGCACATAGCTGGAGAGTCTGACCCTGAACCTGGGGAAGTTCAAGGCTTGGAGCGGGCTGGTAGGGGTATTGGCAGTGGTAGCAGGGGAAGCCAGGCAGAGGCAGAGGGGCCCTGGACACCCAGGGAATTGTCCCGTGTCATGAGGTGCCAATGAGCTGCACTGATAATGTTTTAGACCTGGGTGATGTGGTGGTCATTGGAGCCTTCCAGAGAGAAGTCCTGTTGCCATGGCAGCCTGTAGTCTGGGTGGGAGGAGTCAGGGAGGCTGTGCAGCTTGTCTTGTTCAAGGAGCTCCAGGGTAGGGTAAGGATGGAGGGAGTCAGGGCGGGCTGCTTCTGCTCATTTAAGGTGAGTCACACACAGGAAAGCATGCTGGGCATACTGTGGCTTCTGACTCTTCATGCCTTCTCGCTACCCAGAGGAGTACACTGGTCACTTTCCCAGGGTGGTTAGTAGGATGGAGGTGCCAGGCTCAGGCCCACCCAGAGCTAATTCCTCTGGGGTCTGTGCTCCTTTCCCAAGCCATTTGTCTTCTTAACAATGGTGATTGTGTGAGAGTCACTACAGGAAACATCCAGGTGTCTGCACCTTGAAAGGGAGCAAGGCCCCTGAGGAGCTCCAAGTGCGCCAGGAACAGTCCCCAGGCGTGTTTGGAGCCAAGGGGAGACCTGCCCATCTCCCAGGTTGGATGTTCTCAGTGAGTGCAGTGGTGGGCTACAGCCAGAGCTGGGGTCTGGAGCACCTGTCAGGCCTAGTCCAGTGAGACTTCGCTGAGGTTAGCTCCTGGTCCCTGGCTGAGGCTGACTTGGAGGAGGGTGTTCACACCATGCAGCAGACATGTCCCCTGAGCCCCTGTATTCCCCTAGGCAAGTATGAGGCCACCTGGAATATTGTGTTTGTGTGTGACTTAGACCCTTATGGGACACTAAACAGCTGCTTCTGCTGGAGGTGATCAGGAAGTAGGGATCCCCTTTCTAAGCCCTCACTCTGTGCCATGGGGCTCTCTTCCCCAGTAGAGAAATGACCACAGTGCATTCTGACGGGTATCTGTCCCCTTCCCTTCCCTCCTCCCCCCTCCCCCTTCCCTCTCCTTCCCTCCTCCTTCCCTCCTTCCTTCCTTCCTTTCCCTCCCCTTTTTTCTTTTTTCTTTTTTTTTTTTTTTTTTTTTGAGTTCTGGAAGGAACCAGGGTCCATCCATGCTACACGACCTAAGCAAATTCTCCACTGCTAAGCCACATCCAACTCCTGAGACTTTTTTCATTTCAAGTGTATCTAGAGGCAGAGGGTATAAAATGATGAACCCACATTGCCTGACCCCAACATCAGCAGCCATCAACCTCCAGTCATTGCTGTATGGGGTGCACCCTACCCTTTTCCTCCCTCCTTGGTCATTCAGAAGCACATCTCAGACATTGTGGGATTTTATCTATGAAGTTTGTGTCTATCTTTAAAGATAAATGCTGTTCAAAAACATGGCCACTATAATTTTTTTTTTTTTTAACCACCTAAAAAAGGATAGTAATAACTCATGTCCTCACAGGTCAGCTTGTGTCCCAAGCTTTGGCCCCAACATCTGCTTCTCCCCACAGGCCTCCTGTATTCCAGCAGCCTGTCATCTTTCTGGGAGCAGATGTCACTCACCCACCTGCTGGTGATGGGAAGAAGCCTTCAATTGCTGCGGTGAGTGTCCAGACTGTCCTTAGGACACCCTGTTTGGTGACATGCTGCCTGGCAGGTGCATCAGCTGGCTGTGCTCCCTTTGCAGCATGGCCTGGCTTTCTTCCTCAAAGGCATAGTGTTTTGCTCATTTCATGAGGTCCAGGCCACGTGGCAGTCAGGAGATTGAAGGAACACTGAGAATGGCCTATAATAAGGCTCTAAGAAGCTGTATGAATTGACTTAATACCATCCGCAACGCGTGTGGCCCAGCTTCAGCCCACACTGTGTATGATGCTGTGTGGGTGGGAAGAGCAGCTGAGGTCCTCTAAGGTCCAGCGTGGAGTACAGTGCTTCTGGCCCGGCTTCTGTCCACTTGGACCTCAATTTCACTGCCACACTGGGGGTTTGCAAGAGGGTACACTCACCATTGCAGTGGTGGTTTTGCTAAAGGACTTAACCACACCACACACCGCTGACAGGTTTTTTTGTTTTTTTACTTTTAAAATCAGATTTTATTGTACATTGTAGATACACATAATGACAATATTCATCATAAGGACTGACAGTGGTTTTTAAACTTTGGAATGCACAGTGTAAAAACGTATCAACCTTGAGTCCCCTCCCTCTCCATTTATTAATTAAGTAAGTGATTTTACTGGAGAACAAACCCAGGGGTGTTCCATCATTGAGCTGCATCCCTATCTTATTTATTTATTGACATGGCCTCTCCGACTTTTTCTGTCTGAGCTTAAACTCGAAATCCTCCAGCCTCAGCCCCTCTCAGTGCTAAGATTAAAAGTGTGTGTCTCCATGCATGGCTTCCCAGGTGTCTTTGACTGGAGGCTTGGTGGCTAAGGAAATGGAAGAAAGCAGAAAGTTGGGGGCATTTTTGTTTCAATTCTGTTTGTTTGTCTGAAACTACCTAGGACATGCACGTGCACTCGCACACACACCAGTGCATGCCTTCTTGCATGTTCTCTGGCCTCCCTGGCAGATGTGCTTCAGAAGCCCTGGGCGCTGGCACATAGTCGGTGCTGAGAAAATGCTAGTTTCATTATTTGATCAGTCTGAAGGGTTGTGAACATGAGAGACCCAGATAGGTTGCCCTGGGTGGAAGAAAACCACCATACATACTGTGTGCGCGTGTGTACAGTGCACATGGATCGAGTCTACATGTTGCTCAGGGCCACACTTCCTTATGGAGTCAACATCAAGCGAGGCAGCTCCTGCCACTTGGTCCATAGTCCTGCCCAGCACATCCTGTATGAACAGCATTTTTCCCTTGGCCAAGTTTCTCTGCCTGTGATCAGGAAGGCGGCTCTACAGATCCCCCTGGAGCATGTTGTGGCCTTAGAGCAGGTGGGCAGGACTCTGGCATCAGGTCGGTGAGCGCACAGCTGGGTGGCTCTCCGGCGCTGCATGTGCTCTTGCCACCTTTCTCACTGAGCCTGTTAGCTGGTTTTCTTGGACAAATGCTGTATAGTATTGAAACTGCTTCTGAATTTTTGAGTCTTAGACTCCAAAGCTTTCCATGTTTTCCAAAACAGGAAAGCTCTGTGTTTGTCTCAATCCCTGCAGTTCCCAGTAGGAACAGATTTCTATACGTTACATTGTTTCTATCCATACTAACTTAGAACACCTCAAGTTTATTTATTTTCACTTGGTTTGGGAGAAAACTTACAGCCTCAGGTGGGACAGAGAACCAGGAGTCTGGAAGAATGCCTCAAGAGAGGAAGCCCCTCCTGTCAGGTTCACAGGGAAGTAGGCCTCTACGCAGAAGTGGAGGGGCAGCCCGAGAGTGGCTGGGCATGGTCCTCACTGGACTGGTCTCTTTCTTCTCCTGACCAAGGAATCCAGAGGCCTCTTGGACTCCCTTCTTTCACTCACTTTCCTCTGCACTCTGTGCTTGGCCCTTCAGACCACAGCTCACAGGCCTAGCTTGCCTTCAGATCAGCCCACACCCTCCTCAGGTCAAAATGGGTAGGGGGCTGCTGTGTTTGTTATGCAAATACCTCTGGAAATCAGTTGCCTTGAAAAAATCAGGGACACTCACTAGTTATTTTGTTTGGACAGATTAATTCAACCAACTTTGGTCATGAGCAGATTAAAGTTCTCTGAGTAATCACCTTTTTTTTACAGTGTGCCTTAAGGCAAGCTTTTGCTCTTCAGAATGTATAAGCAAGTATTCTTGCCAAACATTTAGGGAAAGCAAAGACATCAGTTACCCAACTCTGCCACCATGGCTGCAATTGAGACACCTCTGCCCATCCTCAGGCTACTCTCGAGCATATGCCCAGAACACGGAGCCCCCGGGCCCCGTGCTGGTGCTCATCGCATGTTCCTGCAGGTTGTGGGCAGCATGGATGCACACCCCAACCGCTACTGCGCCACTGTACGCGTACAGCAGCACCGGCAAGAGATCATCCAGGACCTGGCTGCGATGGTCCGTGAGCTCCTCATCCAATTTTATAAGTCCACGCGCTTCAAGCCCACCCGCATCATCTTCTACCGTGATGGTGTCTCTGAAGGCCAGTTCCAGCAGGTTGGCTGCCTTTTCTCTCAGCATGCATTTTATCCCCAGATGCCTGTGATTTACCTGTTTGTGCGGCCACCATCACTCCCCCAACTCACTATTGCAGATATAGTTTCAACTGTTTGCTGCCATGCCTGACCTGGTTACAATGAAGAGGAAGGGTCTGTAGACTGTGAAACTTGGCTTTTCCCAAGCCAGGATGTAGAGGCAGGACAGAGGGCAAGGAGAGGATCTGGGTATGAGCTGGAGAGAGTAAAGATCCAGCTGGGCCAGTTGCAAATTGAGCAGTACAGTAAGCTGCATAGGGCTCCTAGGAGTCCAAGCTTTAGCTCCAGGTCTGGCGAGCTTTCAGAATAAGATCTCTATAGGACAGACACTTTGTTTCTGGAACTCTTCTGTCTGCAGCATAAAGGGCAGGTGGGAGAACACAGAGGCCAGGAAAACTGTATGGGCTGGAAAAGACGGGGGGCTTTTTGAAGGCAGCATCCACAAACCCAGCATGATGGTGGATCCAGAAGGTAAGAGAGGATGAGGGGTAAGGGTAGCTCTTTGTTCTTTGCACCAGCCCCTCCCCACTTGGAGTGGTAAGAGGTCTACCTTCTCCTGGAGCTCTGTTCTCCTCAGTGGCTTGAGACTGACTCCTCTACCTCTCCCCACTTCCTGAAGATGCCTCCTGGGGAAGTAGAAGCAGTGAAGGTAGCTGTAAGACTTAGCAGCTACACCCACTTCTGGGGAGTGGAGCCAAACAGCATCTTTACTAGCTGCCTGTGTTATTGCAGAAGCCCAAGGTGCTCAAGAACCTACAGGCCCTGGGCTGGAGTGCCTACCATACACGAGATCCTGGGTTCAGTATCCAGTACCACACCTAGCAAAAAATTTTACTCATTTGCTGTGGGGTTTATGGCACAGTGCCCAGTTTTATGAGATGTGTATAGTGTTGAGATGTTTGTTTTCAGGTGGGAAAGGCCTTGGAAGCACAAAGCCCTCACACCTCTGCTTTCTCCCACCTCTTTCCTGCAGGTCCTACACCATGAGCTGCTGGCTATCCGTGAGGCTTGCATTAAGCTGGAAAAGGACTACCAGCCAGGGATCACTTTCATTGTGGTGCAGAAGAGGCATCATACACGGCTCTTCTGCACTGACAAGAATGAGCGGGTGAGCTCCCAAGGCTTTGCCTGTGTAGCACATGGCACCCTCAGAGCTGCTGTCACACATCCTGGGGAGATCTGGGCTCCCAGGGGCTTCATGGGGACACTACCTCAGATGTCTGAGATCGTTTATCTGATGAGTTACCACAACAAGTAGCTCTAAGGAGCCAGTTGGAAACCACAGCAATGGACTATACCACTGTACTATCAAAGAGAATGTGGTAGAATGGGGTCAACCTCTCAGGGCTTTCAGGGGAGACTGTTGTAAGCACTGGAAATAAGTGGTCTGTAGCCACTGAGAATTCTCCATAGTTGAAGAAAAATATCCTTGGGCCAGAAGTGGTTTCCATGCTCCTGACAGAATACCTTGTCCCTAGTTGACATCCAAGCAGCTGCTGAAGAGGGAGATGATACCTAGGAGGGTGAGGTTCTGTCCGACACCACCATGCCCAGCAAACTCATGTATACTTTTGCATAAATAGAAGACAAAGTTAAAGTTAGATGTTACCATAAGAAAAAAGGGATACTTTGTCACTATAAGAGGAATAGTTCCACAAGACCAAAGAAAAATCTGAGAGAAATCGCCAACCCTACCATCAAAGAGGGTTATGTTAACACACCCCAATGAGAAATTGAAACTGGCAAAAATGTGTGAAAAATAAAAATTGAAGGGTACACTCATCAAGCCAAATGTAATAGACTCCTGCCTAGCATTAGCTGAGATCACATGAAAGGATAATTAAAGCCAGCCTTCTGGGGGCTGGTGAGATAGCTTCGTAGACTAAGCAACTGCTTACGCAAACACAGGGACCAGGATTTGATCCCCAGCATCATATGCCGTGCCTGCTCCACCTCTGGGCATGCTGAGCCAGCCACCAGAGACTGGTTGTCAAGGCACACAGCTGTAATCCCAGCACTGAGATTACTGGGAGGCTGAAAACAGCAGGATCACTATGAGTTTGAGCTGTATAGTGAGGCTGTATACTAAACACATAAAGAAAAAGAAGAAAACCTTCTACCAGGACAGAGGAAGTCTGAGGATACTGTAAAACTTGAAACTTACATGAACCATACATTTTGATCATTATACAATTAAATATTAAATCAACAAATAAGTTTAGGAACGCTTGAAACTTGTAATTCATTTCTAAATTCACACATTAACTGTAATGAGAACAGAAATTGCAGGGTACTCAGAACCAAGCAAGACCCAGAGACTGCTGTATGAAACCACACGCAAACAGCTAACCTGGCATTGTGGAGAGTTAGATGTATTTTTTCTAAAACAAGTCTGGGAACAGTCACAGCCTACAATACAGGTAGGAGGGTGGAAAGAAGAGTGGGGGGATGCTGTGGAGCGCTGGGCGTGGCTCCTGCCCCTCTTCAGCCCCAAAGTCTCAGCCACCAGGAGGCAAGAGGGTTCTCAAGGCTGCTTCCTCTAGGTGACATATACACACATCTTCCTCTTCTCAAAATGGAAATAATGAAGCAAGAAAGGAATTTAAACTTAAAACCTACTTCCAGAAAATAGATTGAGCAAGGCTCTGTGGGAACAAAAGAGGACACTCACACCAGTATAAGCAGCCAAACCGAGGCTATTGCTGCCCAAAGGATGGTATTTCCATTTTTCTGGAATATTGTTAGCAACTTAATGCAGATAAATTTGGAAACTTGGGGGCTGGGGAGATGGCTCAGTAAAACAAGCACTTCCCTGGCAAGCACAAAGGCCTGAGTTCAATCCCTGGTTCTGGAAAAAAAAATTAGAAATTTGTGTGGAAGAGATTACTTACAAATGAATATTGTGAAATTGTATAAATTTTCAAAATCAGCTCAAGAGAATAATCTAGTAATCAGTCTCCCACCCAAAAAGGTATTGAGCCGAGTTTTGTTTCTCCAAACCTTCAGCAGTAGATAATCTCACAGTGTGGCAGGGAATAAAAAGAGGGAAGCTACTTGAGTTTAGTTTGGAGCTTTTTTTTTTTTTTTGGTGGGGGGTGATCTTTTTAAGACAAGGACTTTCGCTGTCCAGTTCAGGCTGTCCTTGAGCTCACTTTCTAGCCCAGGCTGGTCTCAAACTTGTAGCAATCCTGTCCCAGCCTCCTGAGTACTGGGATTAAAGGCATCCGCCACCTCACCTGGCTTGAAGCTTTTGTCCAGGCAAGTTTCACCAGACCTTCAAGGAATCATTTTGTAGTACCAAAAATTGGCAGGGATGTTGACGATTTACTGGGTATAAGGCTACATGGCTGGGCTTAGACCCAGCTTCTGAATGTCTTGACTGCTTGGCCATAAAGTATTACTGAGTCTCTGTCTGTCTCTCTGTACTACCACCCACTAGGACAGGGGTCTTGGGAAGGTGGAGGTCACACATACAAAGCACTCACCTCAGTTTCTGGCACAGAGTAAGCACATTATTACTTAGGTAGCTCTCCTGCCCAGCTGACAGGAATACACACTGATGACCAACGTGGAACATAGTTTGGCAGCTCTAAGTATCTACCCTGGAGAAAGTCACCTGACTGAGGATGCATATGTAACAACAGCTGGGCACAGTAGTGTGCACCTGGAGTTCCAGCTTCTGAAGAGGCTGGGGCAGAAGGACTACTTGAACTCAGAAGTTCAAAACCCCATCTCAACAAGAACAATTATTTATGGCAGTATTGTTAGAATAGGAAACAAAGTAAAAAACACCTGTCAAACAACAGGGAAAAGGATTTATTGTATTTGTATATTAGAACTCATTTCAGCAAAAGAAATTAATAAATTACGGCAAATAGATATGCCTTGGAATTTTAAAAATGAGCAAAAAAGTAGAATATTTGTGACATAGGTATGCAGTTTTTTAATCCATAAAACATTAAAAAGCAATGCTAGTGGGTTCTTGAATGTATATTTAAAACAAAATATAGGTTGGGTATCCTTGATGTGAAGTGTTATGGAATTTTGACTTCTAATATTTGTGCATACATTATAAGGTATCTTAAAACTGGGGGCCAAGTCTAAACAAAAAATCCATTGCTTTATATACTCCATACGTATAACGTGAAAGTTTTGTTTGTTTGTTTGTTTTTTTGGCTCCTTGAATGCCTTCAGGGCACTTTTGCATGGCTGGAGTGTTGTGGGGATCGAACTGAGGCTGCCAGCATTGTGGAAGCAGCCACTTAAAGAACTGAGCTAGGGCTGGGCCCCCTGTTTTTTTTTTTTTTTTGTGGTACCAGCGATTGAACTCAGGATCCTGCGCTTGCCAGGCAAGCGCTTATTCTAATGAGCTATCTCCCCAACCCACATGAAGGTAATTTTACACAGAGTTTTTAGTCTAGTGTGCCTTTGATTTGACCTTGGCCTGTCACATGATGTTACACTACAGCGTCTTTTTGGTGCTCAAAAAGTTTCATATTTTGGAGCTTTTCAGCTTTCACAGTTTTGGATTTCCAGGTTAGGGCCATTCACTTCAACGTGCCTGTGCAGGAAGAATATCTGTGTCTGAGTTTGTGTCAGGGAAGGCCAACAGGAAGTAGGATCTAGAAAAGAATACCTACAGGTTAGAGCCCGGCAGTCCAGGTGGGAGCCTGAGACAGGAAAGCTCGCCTTGGTAGTAATAGCAACAACTCTGCTCTGGTAGGATTTCAGTTGTTCACTTTCCCACTGAGCCAGTATACTAGCCAGTGTGAGAGCTTCCTTGTGACAGCCTGGCCTGGAAGGCAGTGTGGCACTGGCTCACTCCTACCTCCTGGGCCCTGCCAGTCCCATGACTAATGAGGTTCCTGTGTTGCTGCAGGTTGGGAAGAGTGGGAACATTCCAGCAGGTACAACAGTGGACACGAAAATCACCCACCCAACGGAGTTTGACTTCTACCTGTGTAGTCACGCTGGCATCCAGGTAGGGATGGAGGCCTGTGGACAGTTCCAGGTATCCACGTGCATGAAAAGCCCTCGTGCTCTGACCAGAGCCACCCAGTCTACAGCCCATTTGGGTACCCTGAAAGTTGAGCATGGCTTTTGCATTTTGAAGGATTATTATGCTTCTTTTTTTATTGTTTTGTTTTTTGGCGGAACTGAGATTGAACTCGGGCCCTTGCGCTTGCCAGGGAAATGCTTATTCCACTGAACCATCTCCCTGGCCCCCGGATTATTATGCTTCAGAGCATGAATGTTTTCATATTTCTTGGAACAAATCAGTTGTTTCTGTGCCTTCAGCACTGGCATACTTGCTCTGGGAGGCTGCAGTACTGCAGACTTTGTCCCCTCATGCCATACCCCTTTGCTGGCTTCCCTCATGATGAGGGGACCCTTATCCTACAGCACCTCTCTGGCTTGCTTTCTGCCTGGGAGCATTCTAACATAGGAACTTCTTTATGATAGGGGAGAGCCCACACTCCATGACCCTGGGCAGACTCGCTTTGAACACTGTCTCTGGCAGCCACCAGCTAACTGCTGGGATGTGTGCAGTGGTTCGTCAGGGTGAGAGCATTCCGCCATCTGCCAGCTGCCCAGGGCTTCAACACAGTACCAGGCTCTAAACAGAAGGCTCTGGAGGGTCAGCTATAGCTGGGGCAGTCAGGGAACAGCTACCTGTGGTGTCAACTACTAGGGCTGCCCTGGGTGGAGTAATCAAAACAAGGGGAGTCAACTCCCCTTTGTGTTTCAAAAGATTTCAGAAAACAAAACTTGTGTAAAGTGATCCTCCTGTTCCAACTCCTGTTTTTAAATGTTATTTTTCAATATATAGCTTTTAGAGGTTTTTTGCTGTTATAAATAAAACATGATAGAATATTTGACCCATCCATAAGACTTTGTCCTCAGTAGTTACTTTTTGAACATACATTTTGATCTGTAATTGATATATAATGTACATATTTTGGGTTAAGGGTGTGAGTTTTTTTACAGTTATTTTGTAAATATCAGTCATTTGTATGTAAATATATCTCACATATATATTTATATATTTGTCAACCTTTGTTTTAAAAAAGACAAGTGACATGCTGGAAACTAAGTGGTAAACTATATGGTATGGTAACTATATGGTAGTTACCACATAGGGTAAGAGGAGCAGGGCAGAGAGAAGGGAGACCTCTGGACACCTGCCTACAGTTTTGTCTGTGTTGGAAAAGAAAAAGATAAAAAAACTCTCACTTCTAACACGCATCCACACTCCTTATAATTGCGCCTCTCCACCCTCATCATCCTGTGTGGCACTCACTAGCTGTTCGACTCTGTCAGGTCACCTTCAACCTGTAGAATCCCTTAACACCAGAGTGGCTCTCGGAAGGGACTGCTCTTGCTGAAGCACGACAGACAGTGTCTCCACCCCCTTGTCTGGAGGTCAGGTTGTGTGGTGTGATATTTTAATACATGTGTACAATGTATGATGACCTCAAACATTTTTCATTTCTTTGTAACATTCAGTGTCCTGTCTGCTAGCTACTTGGAATTATGTCCACCTTTAATAATTGCTTTATGTCTATTCTGATTTTGCTGTGTGGTAAATGTGTACAATACTTTATATAGAGGTTTTTAAGATAGATTGTCCTGATAAGTTTTTAAATATAAACAGCTCTTTGTAGCATCAAATACTCCACAGTATTCTTTGTAAAGATTTTACGGTGAATCTGAGTGTTACTCTGATCTGCTTTTAGGGGACAAGCAGGCCTTCCCACTACCATGTCCTTTGGGATGACAATCGTTTCTCTTCCGATGAGCTGCAGATTCTAACCTACCAGTTGTGTCACACCTATGTGCGCTGTACGCGCTCTGTGTCCATCCCTGCACCAGCCTACTATGCTCACCTGGTGGCCTTCCGAGCCAGGTACCACCTGGTGGATAAGGAACATGATAGGTGAGTGCTGCACCTGGCTGGAGGTCACTGCCCAGATTGTTTCTGACAGGCTTGGCTGCTGCTTCTACCAAATGAGTAGTTGCTGGAGCTGATATGCCTGAGTGTTGGTGCTTTTTATGGTGGCTGTAGCACACTGCTCCCTTCCCCAGGTGTCTGAGGCATCATCCTCACTCATCAAACAAGAGTTGTGTTCTCTCTCCCCCTCCTTCCTGTGTCCCTGCAGTGCTGAGGGAAGCCATACCTCTGGGCAGAGCAACGGGCGAGACCACCAAGCCCTGGCCAAGGCGGTCCAGGTCCATCAGGACACACTGCGTACCATGTACTTTGCTTGACATGTTCTAGTGTTTAGCGATTGTGCACACCAAGTTGGATGGATTCACATGAGACCAGCTACACTCAGACCAACAGACGCCCAGCCCTTCGTGACAGCCAGCATCGAACATGAAACGTCATTGATTTTATTAGATTCTCCATTTTCCAGAATGCCTTCCGTCCCAGATTTCAAACTTGGATTTTGAACTGCAGACCTGTATGAGATCCAGTTGTCGTAGGAAATATGGTTTGCCAAAATCTATAAGCTGCTTATTAAAAAAAGTAGAGTCCCGTGTTTCCTAAAAATCTCCTAAAACCAGTCTATGAACTCAGGGCTTTAAAACATTTTTAATTTATTTGGTCATCCAATTTACTTGTTTTTAATACATGATTCTTTATGAAATTGATGGGCTCAAACTAGCTGTGAATGTTCTAAGAATGAAAGCAACACCAAACACAATTGTGGTTTTAAAGCCTTGACCATTCTGATGTTGTCACTAATGTTGATTCCTGTGATGTTGTGTGCTCCTGACCTGGCTGTACAAGCTCCACGGCCCCAAGGCCAGGTATGTGAGGCAGCCATGGGCATCTCACCCGGCCACTGCCTGTCTCACGTGGCCTCAGCAAAGGAGTGGTGGCAGGTAGGCCGTGTGTGTTTACAGCAGTGACAGGTCAAGAGATTGGCAGATAAGTGCCATTTTAATAAAAAATTTATTTAAAAGAAAAAGACAATATACTGACAGTCTAATCATAAGATTTGTCCTATAGGACTGTGACATTTATTTTCCAAAGTTTCTAAAGAATACGGGTCTGTGGTGATAAAAATACAGTACAATCCTTTTTCACTGTTATGTCTTTAATGTAAGAGAAAAATATATATATATATCTGGTTTGCAGTATTAATGTGATAGATAGATGCTGTTTTCCTTTTGTTGACTACGGGGTGCTTCATGTGACCTATTTCGCATATCAGGAGTGTTTGGAGCCTGGAGATGGGCCACCTGTAGTGGCTCTTAGTGCTTAAGTACAGGAATATGCAACTGACTTCATTTGACAGCGATCCTCCCCCCATGTGGACTCTGTAGCCGATACTTCTGGGAGGGACACTGTGCCCACCAGCCACCCACCACCCTCCTACCACCCTGTCCCCATGTATCACTCAGCTGATGAAGCACAAATGGAATTTATTCTTCTGTCGCTGGGAAACAAGTTCGTGTGTCAGAGTGCACTTCTCTCGGTGTACGGTATTGGTGGGCAAGCTTCGTAGGATCTATGCACTGAAACCAAGAGAGCTGCCAGTGGCTGAGAGGCCCAGGGCAAGCAGCAGAGGGCAGAGACTGCTTGGTTAGGACTTGCATTTGGAGCCCCGGATGGGGTTTACCAGTCTAGAAACCATTGCACTAAGAGTGACACCATGGATGTTGTTAAAGGATAACAATTGCTGTTTGTGCTGAATGAGTTTTTGGTCCTTGAATACAATTTGAGTAAGAATCAGATCCATGTTCTACTTAGAAGTTCAAAAGGAAGGAAATGAGCCTTCCCCTGCGCTGCTTTGTGCTCTGTAGGTTTCCTCTCCCTGCTGATGTACCCTCCCCAGTCCTGTGTGACATTACCTCTGGCACTGTGATAGAGTGAGGGTCCCAAAGGTGGTGCCTAAGGCAAGAGAATAGGCACCCAGTTCTGTCCCTGTCCCCGTCATTCACCTTTTGAGGTGGTGGGAAGGCCCATGAGCCCCTGGCCTGGTGGTTCCAACACACGGCCTGGACTAGTGGCAGTGACAAGGAATAGCTGTGATCTGTGAAGATGTGTACTCCGAGTGGGGTGTGTGTCTGTGTGTGCATGTAGTTGTCCTACTAATGACCTTAGTCTCTTCTTGCTGTATCCTTTTTTTCTACTCTTTAAGTGACAGCAGCCCCCGCACTAAGAAGCACTGCAGCTGCCTGTTGTCTTGTTGGCAAATGGCACTTTCTCCTGTTTCCAGAAGGGCACAAATATATTGAGCTTAGCTCACCAGGCACATTCAAGCTGAAGAGGGGACTCTTCTGACTAGTCAATTTTTAGAATCTGAAATTAGGTTAGTTTCAGCCATTCTTAGAGCCATCTGGAACCATGTGTCTCTACCCCAAACAGGATTTCAGTCTTCTGGGATTGTAAGTCTTGTCAAATGCAAATTCCTGGGCCACTGAGCATCTGCATTTTACACCATCACTTGTAGCTCTGGGGTAGCTCCAGAGGAGACTCAGTGAGGCTATCCCTCTGGGGCACCAAGGGGCCAGCTGGGAAGACCTCCTCAGCACCAGAGGCCTTGTAAGCTAAGGCCTAAGGAATACTGCAGGCTGGCAGAAAATTAGACCTGTAGGGCTTTTTTTTTCCATTTTGTAGTATATGTTTTCTTTTTAGTGGGCCAAAGTACTTTAAGAAGTGTACTTTTTATAGCCCTCTGCTCGTTTATAAGCTTTTAATACTGAAAACATTAACAGACCAAATGTCTCCACTTCAGTTAGCTATATATCTTTGTACATGTCTGATAATCCTCTTTAAATGGCTGTAGTTACAATTTCTCAGGTAAATAATTGTTTTCCTAATTTCTACCAAATCCTCCATTATTAGCATAAGTTTTAAGACAGGCAAAACCTCAGAATACAGTAAGATTAGTCCAAGCCCTGGTCACAGAAGCCACAAGGTCACTTGCCTCTCCTTGGACCATGGCTGCCAGGTTCCCCAGTGGCTCCTTCTTGCTGGGTCTCCTATAGTGCCGCCTGTTCAGGACTGAGCGTTGTCCCCCTGCTGGCTTTTTATCTCCACCCCACTGTTAAGTAAGGTGTGCCTTGCTTTAAGCAAATGGAATGTGAAAATTCTGATGTAAGTCTGGATTCATTTAAAAGAAAAGCTAGAGTTTATCTCTTTAAAAGAGCTCTCCCAGTTAGATTTCCATAGTGGGACTCATTCTTCCAAGTGTATTTAAAAATACTCTCTTAAAAAACATAATGAACTTTTATCTCCTTACTTACCACTATCTGTTACCCTCAGCAGTTCTCCCTGTGAGAACCAAGAAATGCAAGTTCAGGGGAGCCATTGGTAGTTCCTGTTACTTGCATATTGTAAGTTCACATTTTTCTATTTCAGATAAATTTTGGAAAATGGAGTATATCTGTATGTATAGAAAGGGATGTTTTGGCTTTTACTTTCTGGTTCTGAGAAGTCTTTGCACACACACTGTTGATAGGCCTCCACGTTAGGGTCTGCTTGGTCTCCTCAGGTCAGGTTGCCTCTGGCCATGTCTGAAGACCAGATGGCCATTGTGCTGGCTTGCCGTGGAGGATGCTGTGCTGTCACCAGTGGGGAGTGAGCATCTCACTTTTCTCAGCTGGCCTAAACACTGCCTGCTATTCCTAATGTTCACCCCCGTTACTAAGAAGTCACTAGAGACAGTTTCAGTCCCTGCATTTTATTGTTATATGTTATTTTTATTGTTGTTAAATGCAAATGTTGCTATTTATTTTTTTTTTTCTGCTCTGGTTTGATTTGGCTGATGTGAATATTCCAGCGCATATGGTACCTGATGGATATGGTAGGAATTATTTTACCCAACTTTTATAAATGACCTAATGTTTACCTTCAAGTTTACCGGATGATTTATTTTTGAAAGCCACAAATGTAATTTTTCTGGATGAATTTTTTTCTTATATATGCAGCAGCAATGTGCTTTTACATTGATCTGCAGGGTGATTTAAATTTTATTTTTACAAGGCAGTTTTTCAGCCAAATTATATATTTGATACAATATGTCAAGGGTAGACCAGCATGCCTCATGCAGCTGGGACACCAGAGTGTCTCCAGGAAGCTTTGGGGCTGAGACAACCTCTTCTGGTTGCTTGTGGTCACTTAGCACTAGGCTTGTTACGGAGCCTTCAGGAACTGGATGTAGTCCATCAGCACGGCTTTGATCTGTTGGACAGTTACAAGGATTTTCTCATGGGCATTTTCCTACACCTAAGGCAGTTCCATTAGGAGGCGCTTTAGATACTGACCTAATCCAGACAGTGGACAATCCTGGTGGCCCAGACAAGCCATAAGAAATTCTTCTGTGACCTCTTTTGACTCATCTCTCACGCTCATGAGAAAAGGAATGTACAATAGTAGAGAAGATTTCCTCAGTGTTCATGCACCTCACTTACAGAACGCAAATATTTTATTTATATTTTAAGCCCTTCCCCAAAGTAACTGAGACTATGGTCTCCAGCTGTCTTGCCAGCAGTCTTGCTGCTCTGACAAGTTTTGGTGTAGACACAGTGTACATGTGACTTGGTCATGGAGTGGCCCTATTACATGCATGCTTAACTCTTTTGTAAGGAAAAATTTTCAACTCAAAATAATTGCACTGATTTTTTTTGACAACTTGTTTTATTATGTCCAACTTTGCATCTGCTGTACTTAAATGATTGTAAATAGATTCATGGTAGCAAAATGATGTGAATACAGGACGCTGCTTTGCCTCAGTGACACCACCATGCATTTCAGTATTACGCATTAAGAGTTGTGCAGACCTGCTTTTGTTCTGCTCTTTAGCCTCGTGTCTGGACCATTCATGAAGGACAAATTAGACTCATTTTCTTGTTTTTCTGACAGTTTTCCATATGTTTGAAGGAGACTGCTCTCCTGTTATCTGGAGATTTGATTGTAAGAGGATTAATTGTAAATCTGTGAGACTTCGTGGTCTTGTCCAGTTGTCTTACTTACCATGGCTCCTGAAAGCATTTCCTTCCAGTCCTGTCCATCCTTTGGCATTGCAGATAGGAAGCATCTGCATGATCTGTGTTAGTAGACTACAAGGTGGTCTCCCTTGCGTCCCTTTGGCCAGTGTCAATTTAAAGCCATGAGGTTACTGTCATGTCAAATTGTCATTGTAGCTGTACTTAGAGATGCCAGAGAGACCTGATCTGAGGCCTAGCGCTGGCCTCTGTGCCGCGATACTGCTGGATTTGAAGTTCATGCTGCAGCCCCCATGTGTTACTGTCAGCTTACCCAGTGTTGGGTACAGAAGGGGCTGTGGGCTGTGTGTGTGTGTGTGTGTGTGTGTGTGTGTGTGTGTGTGTGTGTGAGAATGTCACATCAGTGCCATCCTAGTCCCTTACTTTGCTTCTCTGCATATGTCCTGCCATTTTATTGTCTCAAGTGAATGTATTGGCTTAGCCAAATCACTACAGAAGGTGGTTTCTAAATACCTTTTAGTTCAACGCAGATAAAAGCTACCTCTGAATTCTCAATAGATTCATGTTTGCTCATAGGCGTAGCTATCCACACTGAAAATAGCCAAAATGTTGCCTGAATAAACTGAATTGTGAACATCTCTCTATTCAGTTCTGGCTTGAAAATGTGTGTGCCATACTGTGACATGGGGGCAGCTCCCTCCTCTCTGCTGTTTCAGTGGACCAGGGACTCCTCAGTGCTGTCCAGCTGAGATTCCAGCATTCTGAGAGGCCAGCATGACCAGATCCAAGGGCTTCTTTGTATGGGCAGTGTGCCATCCCTCAGCTGGCAGGAGTATCTCTGCAGGCCCACATTGTGTGGCAGAGCCTTGAAATAGCCTGTATCCCTGCTTTCAGTTCCCTGTTTAATACAAGAAAGCACTTTTCCCCCTTGCTTACTTCTTCTGAATGGGTTGAAAATTGTCTCCTTTGCTCTCACCTCCCTTTTTATACTCTATAAAGTCACCAAGGTGCTTCAACACCAACTCTAGTACAAATAATATATTTAAAATAGTTGCATGATTTCAAAAGGCTTTGGAACCTTGAGTTACAGTCACTTCCCACTTAAAATGAGCTAAGGTTTGAAAGCAAAACATTGTGTTCCAATTGAGCACCCTTTGAAAACAGCACAGGCTCTGCCAGTGGAGTAG